AGAGGGCCCCTCACTGTCGGAGTCTGGTGGCAGCTCCAACGGCACCTGCTGGGCCACAACAGATGACCTTGGCTTTCTAGGAAGAATTTTGTTATGGCTACATCGCATCTAACTCCATACAATCCCCCCTCCCATTTTCCCACAATAGAAAATGCATAGTAGAAGAATAGAAAGTGTGGCAGGCCAAAGATCCAAAAGAAAAGATGGCTGCAGGCCTGATAGCCTTCAAAGGGGACTTGGTGGGTTCTTAAGAAGCTCTAATCTCCATGCTCTGTTTATCCTTCCAGATGTCCTTTCAAATTCCGAAAGGCAAGATGCTGTCTCCATCAGTTTTGGGGAAGCAAGCATGTTTTAGCTAATCTTCTAATTCCTCCTTTCTCTCCTTTGGTTTTTTTTCCTATTACCAGGAGGACAAAAAGCTCGCGTAGTATTTGCTGAATTGGCTTGCAGAGAGCCAGACGTCCTTATTCTGGTGAGTTTATCTACAATCTATATATCAGCACCATTATCCCATTGTGGAAGCTGAAGAGAAGCCGAGAGTCCTTAAATGTCTCTCCATTCCCTTTCCCCTAGGATGAACCTACGAATAACTTGGATATTGAATCAATCGATGCCTTGGGAGATGCTATCAATGAATATAAAGGAGGTGAGCGAAAGCTTGTTGGCTCTTAATTCCAGGGGTAATAATACATGATAAATACCCCTCTGCTTGCTCTTCTTACCACTGTGCTGTCCTTACAAATTTGAAAGGTGGTACCGGAAAGTAGGGACCAGGCGTTCCTACAGTGACATTAGGTTTCTCCTATCCCAGTGATTGCTAACCTTGTTATCGTCGTGTGACGAAAGCGCAAGGCCCTCACCCATAATGCAATGCACGTGTGACACCCTCTGCATGCCTTGCCCCCTGCGCATGCACATGTTCCCCACTGCATGCCCTGCTCCCTCCACATGCTTGTGCGACACACACACACATCACCCCGTTTTGGGTCTAGCAGACCTCCCTGCAGACTCCTGGGAAAAATGAGCTGCGGGGGAAGCGCGCCACACACTCCCGCGCTCGCCCCCGAGCATGCTTCCACGACCACACGAACACGTGTCTCCCGCATTTGCACGAGATCCTGTGCATATGCATGCAACCTGTCTCACATGTGCACACATCTCCCACATCCGTCCATCCCCCCATGTATGATTGGCAGAGATCCAAAAATCAGCTGGCCGGCGGGAGGCACGCACACATGTGCGGTGGAGCTGAGCTAGGTTGACGGCTCGCGTGTCCGCTGAGAGGGCTCTGTATGCCACCTGTGGCATGTGTGCCATAGGTTCTCCATCACGGTTCTATCCTGTCGCATATCTTGCCTTTGTTATTGTAAATCAACTTTGCTTTGCCCTATCACTTGGCAGGATGGGAAAGACTGAAAATGAAGGCCACCATCTTAGTACCTAAGAATGATACGTTTCTGGTTTCAGTGTGCAGCAGCTGCTAAAAAAGCCAACACAGTTCTAGGCTGCATAAACAGGGGAATAGAATCAAGATCACGTGAAGTGTTAATACCACTTTATAATGCCTTGGTAAGGCCACACTTGGAATACTGCATTCAGCTTTGGTCACCACGATGTAGAAAAGATGTGGAGAGTTTAGAAAGAGTGCAGAGTGCAGAGAAGAGCAACAAAGATGATTAGGGGACTGGAGGCCAAAATATATGAACTGTGGTTGCAGGAATTGGGTATGTCTAGTTTAATGAAAAGAAGGACCAGGGGAGAAATGACAGCAGTGTTCCAATATCTCAGGGGTTGCCACAAAGAAAAGGGAGTCAAACTATTCTCCAAACCACTTGAGGGTAGGACAAGAAGGAATGGGGGGAAAGTAATCAAAGAGAGAAGCAACCTAGAACTAAGGAGAAATTTCCTGAC